CCGCACATAGTGGATAGTGGTGCATAAGCAGGCCTGCCTATGTGCATTATGCCATGTTTAGGTACAGGTTGCAGCGCAACGTCGTCGCGCGCAGTAGCAGCAGCAGCGTTATGTTAACCGCGAACGCCCGAGTAACCGTTATGATAAGAGACTGCACATTATATACATTTTGCATTTATAATTGTATCATCTTGTCGGTCGCTCGTCGAAGCGGCTGTTGTCGTCGTTTGCTATACTTTTGCCAAGACGACGACGACCACGAGGTTAGCTCGAGCGAGTATAATTTGCAAATATACGGCGGAACTTGGCGATTCGCCGAACAGCTTTTCCAACAGGACTCTGTTATGCTATAGTTGGGCGCCAATTTTAATGCAGCCTCGCTAAATCCCACCAAATTATTCATTTCCGATCCTTTTGCTGCGAGAAAATCTGAAACGTTGTATAGAGGAAGAGTGGTAGTAGCCTCATCTCGAAATTCCGGAGTAAAACGAGCTGCTGCACGCGGCTGATTCTCCAACAAACTGTCGCAATAAGCCAGGAAGAGCTATACAGCAGAAGTGTGCTGCAGCCAAGTGCAATTGCAGATTCGCCGACTAATCAATGGCGCGCACTAGTCTCTCTGCATTAGCGCATTAGGTAAAGCCGAAATAATCGATTGGTCGCGAGGCGTCAGAGCTCCAAAGCAGTACTAAATATAGTATGGAACGATCATATATATAGCGGCTGATCCTGCTCGTGCGTATACACTCGTTCATCTGGGATATATAAGCCGCGCCGATGAGTTATGGACTGTGGCTTTTTCTCTCTCTCTAACTCTCCAGCAGTTCAGTACTTGCCAGGATTGATGGATTGTGTAGGTTTGGCCCTTGGTATACACTACCGTTATAGAATGCGTATACAGAGGGATCGCGAGCAGCTCGAGTCTCTCTGTGCCGGACAGCGCACGGGGACCTCGGCGAACAGCTCGGCTAGCTGCAGTTCGATGGCCGCCACGAGCTCATAGCTATTATATATATTTTATATATATGTAACATGTTATGTATGAAGAGAGATGTAGAAGCGGCGCAACGGCCGACGCAAAGATTCGATGCTCGGCGATCGAATATCGCGAGGGAGCTATGTAGCAGCCGAGGAAGATTTACCATGCCGACGAGAGCTCGTGAGCGTAACATCCGCACGCGTATAATCATAGGTCGAGATAGAGATTGCTCTTTGCTCTCTCTCTCTCTCTCTCTCTATATTGATCGATCGTGAGCTGCGCAGTGCTCCTCTTGCATTAATGATTATACACGCGGTCGAACACTTTTCGTCGTCGTCGTCGGTTCCCATGATACGGATCGAGCTTTTAATTGCACTTGTCCGTGCAGCCGCCGCCGCAGCATCCATGACAATTTTCCGAGTCTCTCGAGTCGAGTTAACCCTTTGGACGAAGCTCACGAGCTCCATCTTGGCCAAACGATGTCGTGCATAAAATAATCCAACACCCTCGGGGCTCTCTTCTAAGAGCTCACTCGGATGCTGCGCACCACACACACACACATGCATAGAGAGCAGCTATCACGTGGCAATCACACGATCGACGCGGCGGCCCGACCGGCTAACAATTTCCCGCAAACAGCATAAAGCTCGTTATGCCTGCACGTATACTACTAGTCTCGGTGTGCACTATACACACAGAGACTCAAGCTCGAGCGCAGTTAAAGGTCAGCTTCTGCGCGCCTGGTGCATAGTTCGAGAAAGCCCCCCATAGTACTACTCGCCTCACTGGTGCTTATAATATACACGAGCTCCGCTGCGCTGTGCATGTCTCGAGGCCTAGCTCATTAGTATCGGCCCGGCCAATCGATATACACACACACACACACACATACATACATACATTTCTATATAAGCTTCCGAGCGAACCGCATAAACACGTTGCGAGCATTTCTACAGCTCAGTGCCGAACACGAGCGAGAGCTCCTCCGCAAAGTCCATACCTAGTCTTATAATATGCTACTATAGCTATAGCTACCCGCACCCGAGATGTATGTGCGAAGCTCACGCGGAAGTGCCAATTAGAAACGCCGAGCTCGAGCTACACTCGAGATCTGTACCTATAATACTCGGCGCGATCGGCTCTCGAACGGCGAGCTAGCTCCAACGGTTGCGACCGAGTTCATGCCTGCTGCTGTATGTGTATTATTGCCACGGCTTCGTTATATGCATTTCCAACCCCACAGCTGTACAATAGTCCGTACACCCCCCGTCGCTTTTTCTTAATCTCTGCGATTTCTTATTTCTCGGCTCATTTTCGGTTTTCACTCGTTCGACGGATATGAGCGTTGATTTCATTGCAGATATGAAGCAATAACGCATAGTTGAGAAACGATAATAACAGTTTAATCAAAGCAGGTCGTATGTCACAAGAGCTATAAACATTACAACGTATATCTGCCTCGCATCGGTAACAGAGTCGAAAATCTCGTAGCCCACAGTACATTATAATATATGCCTGGTGCTGGTGCTGCGAGCTGGCCGCGATCGCAAGCATAATATAAGCCCTCGCGCGCCGACGATTCGACGCGGTGCGAAGAAAACAGTATTACGCCTTGTCGGTGACTTATCTTACACCTGCAGCCGTTACAGCTGTACACGCAGAGAAGTAGAAGAAGAAGAAGAAGCAGCAGCGATACCGATGAAGAAGAAGAAGCAGGAGAAGAAGGAGAAGTAGAAGAAGAAGACGAAGAGGGAGAAAAGCAGCTCCGAAGAGATAAGTCAGCCGTTTTCTTCGGCCTTTTTTTCTCTCGCTCCGGCTCGGCTCGACTCGACTCGACGCTGCCGCAACTTGCGCGGGTTGTGCTTTCGTGCGCGTCTGTTTGTGCGTATGCGCGTAGATGTACGTTCGCTCGAGCTGTGCGGAGATTGCAGCGCGATATCGGCCTGTGTCCCGACGACGCTAAGAGCGAGCTGCTAAGAGAAAGAGAGAAGGTAAGAGAAAAGAGAGAGAGAGGCTGCAATTGAAACGTCCCTTCGCAGGACTCGATCGATCTCTCTTGCGGGCGCGGAACGAATTACGCCGCTGCGGCGATCGATCGCCAGGCGAGATTAGCTACGCTGCTGCCGCTGCTACCGCGATCGGATGATCGCAGCTCGCTACGTAAGATGAATCGATCTCTATCTCTGCCATGCTATAGCTATCCTTATTCCTTGCTCGCTGTATATTGCAGCGGGATGGTCTCTTGGCTGCTCCGTCGCGATCGCTCGAATGTAAAGCAGTCGCTCGCTCGAGATCGGCCTGTGTGCTCTGCAGTCTCCTCCGAGCGTAGCTAATTCCACTATGCGTGCGGCCTCTCTCTCTCTCTCTCTCTCTTTCGCTCTCTCGGCCGATCGGTGGTGCGTTTCAGCACGCGCCGAGCTAAAAAAATTACTCGAGCCAAGTATGCGAAAAAATCGGCGATCGATCGGCTTGCTTATGTGCGTGCATCGATGCGCGCTCGCGACTGCCTATGGCAGCTTCCATGGAAAAGCTTCGCGCAGCGAGGACTGCCTACGTAGTGTACGTACTCGTCTGTACCTTGGTCTCTTCGCGGCCACGCGTCCTATGCTATGCGGCGTGGCCGCGATCGAGCAGGCATATTATTGCCGATCGCTGCACATAATTTCAGGCGTGTATAGTCGAGAGAGCAACACGGAGTAGATTGCTGCTGCTGCCATATTATATTATACAGCTATTATACGTTACACAGCGGCCCCTGCTAATATTTATACGTGTGCTGCGATCGCTCTTGTTTTCATTTTAAACCCATTCCATGCCCTGGTAGAAACGCCTCGAACACTAAGTGACTATTTGAAAAATTTTAAAATACATTACCATTAATTAAATTTTTTGCGGGTATTCTACTGTTACAATTATGTTGCAATTATTGAGTATTTCAAATGGCCTGGAATGACAACTTAACTGTTTCAAAAAATGTTGATCGGGTTTGAAACACTTTAAATACGATAATACCACTTCAAATACCCACCACTAGATGGCGAGTATCTACAGATCTGTAAATCTGCAAGTGGCAAAGTCAAAGTAATTGTACAAATCGAATTATACATTCATCCCTTTTCATTCAAACTGTGTCTTATCTTTTCCTACTTTCTTTCATTTTCTCAACTACGCACGTGTGCATTTTACTATACTGCGGGGATTGCATTATTCACATTGGCGTGCTAACTGTGACTCCAGCGCGAGTCGTCAACATCCCTCTCTTTAGGGTCATTAAGCACTACAAGTAATGCTCTCGCGGCCTATAATGTATTTATATCCGGTCGCCGAGCATAGCCATATTTTCATTTTTATCGGGATTGAAAATTGCCGCGCGGGATTCACGAATACATCTCGTGTTCGGCATCGACACGCCGATCGATCCACTCCGAGGAATGTTTAATCAACGACGATACGATCCCCGAGCGATCAGCTTGCCTCGCAAATTTTTTCTCCAACGCACACACACCCCGGCTGCTTTTATTGTTTTTATTTTTTTTACAGCGTATACTAATATAACATGCCGCCTAGCTACGATAAAAGCAATTTTACCTGTACACGATACACAATATTTTCATCGTTTATACGCATCTCGCTCTGAGTGGCTACTCGACGGTGTTGTATAGGAGACGCGCAATTTACGCCGATCGTAATTTACATTCGAATAAGCGAGCGCACGACTAGAAAATGCAATAAAGGGCGCGAAAACGGGTCGCAGCGTTGCTCTCTTTATGGGATCTTGTGACTAGTAGGCGCGCGAGCAACAGCCATCATCTCCTTCATAATCAAGCCCTTTAACTGTTTTATTATTCTGATTTTGCAAAATGAACGAGGTTTAATGCTACGTGCCTTTTAACGACTTCATTCGTCGGCGCGGCGAATATCTTTATTTGTTCCGCGAGTACAGCATTCAGTTGTCATTTTTCATTAGCTTTATAGCCTGATAATTCTTATGAAAACAAAAGCTAAACAAAATATTGCTTACTATGAATCACTGCAAGACTTTGCTGAATCAAACCAATGCTCGTTTTTTCTCACCTAAAACATAAAAAAAGACATCTCGTTAGTATGAATAATATTTAGTCGTAAAAGATCCTATTAGAATTGAAAAACTTTTAATTTTATAAAATAATAAAAGAAACATCATCGGTAAAAGCTCGCGATTTTGAAGGATGGAAATGAAAATCTCGCAGCGTGACTTTCTCTCTCTTTCTGACCGTTCTCAAGCAATATGTATTATAAGTTGACTGCATGTCCAAGTATAGAGTCGCGCACCGTTGCGGCTCGCGAGTGAATAGCAGCAGCAGCAGCCTCTGCTCGGGCTTTTCCGTCGTTTACGATCGCAGCCATGTACGAACTCTCACTTGGAGGTGTGAATTGGTTCGTTTGTAAGGGCCTCTGTACACACAGACGGTATATAACGTACGTACACGCGGAGGCAAAGGCGCGCAATGCCAAGTACAGAGAGAGAGAGAAATTCTTCTCGTTGTTTGACCGAGCGCGAACCTCTTCATCTTTCTCTCTCTTTTTCTCCGTTATTCGTTTCTTATTTTTTTTACCCACACTTCTCTTTCATTCCAGCCAGTATATACTGGATGCAGCTTGCACGCGTGCAAAACTACCTTTTCTCGGGTTTAATATATTATAAAAAAACGATCTGTGCTCACGAGCCTGACAACTTGCGGCAATGAGTAATATTTTACACGAAAGTAACGAATTATTTGATTCGATTATCGCTCGATGCGACGAGTTATTAAAAAAATGCCATTCGCAAAATTAGTTTGCCAGTCTGGATCGCGACTCAGCGCGTCGCGTTATTACGTGTTAGCTAAATGAATTTCAGCGATTACATCGTTGACGCGCGCATTAAATTAAAATGCGCGATCGCGCGTGAAAAGTTGCCCGTATCACGAGCAGTTTGGTAAAGAAATTAGCAATCCTTTCCGAGTTCCTCTCGTTGACCGATAAATCTCACTCTCGCGCAGGGCTGGGCACGGATATTTCGAAGATCGCTGGCTCGAGATATCGCAACGATCGCGGTAGCGCAAGACAAAAACAAGCGAAAACATAGCGTTGACAATTACTCGCGTGGAACGCGGTATGTACTACGAGTATACTATCTATATGCGTAAGTGGCGGTGCAGTACGCCGAGCAAAAAACGCAACTCGAGCTCGCGTCGAATGTACAGGTACATAGGCTCGATGATAGATAAAAAATATCTTGGCTTCGCGATGAGTAATGGGATCGGAGATATGGGATCGGCGCTCCGGCTCTTCTGCTCCGTCGACATATGTGTACGTGTGTGTGTGTGTGTGTATAATTAAAGCTGCCCTCGCTGCAAGTGGAAGCAATCTGCGCTCTATTAAGCGCCATCGATTACGCGCTAGCTTTTGCGCTGCGGAGCTCGCGAGCGATCGAATTTTCATGTTCTGCACGCAGTAATTTATCCCGCGCGCGCCTATAATATATAAATAAGAATTCGCTGGGCTGCTGCGTGTGCCCGTCATTACTCGTGCGAGCAGCAGCTATCGTTATTATCTTTATCATTATTGTTATTATCGTCATCGCCATCATCGTCGTTGCCTATATAGATTATTGCCGCGCGCGGAATATAATTACGAATATATGTGCGCACTTGCCGATACATGTGTAGCAACCAAAGCCAGGGGATCATGATGATTTTCAATTTTCCGATCGGATGAAGTCGTTTTCAACGGCTCGTAAATTAATTCGCGAGCAAATAAATACATCGAAAGCCTAAGGACGCTGCAAATTCGTGATCATGTCGAGGCATTAGGCATGCACGTATGCAATACGTGTGTGTGTGTGTGTACGCACTGCACCGGAAGCACGTTTCAGTGCATCGACCAAGGACTAGTGTGTCGTAATATACAGCGAGCGAGCGAAGTGCGCTCGTACGGCGAGGATCCTTTTCGAAGATGAACGACATGCGAATATAGCTTCAGTTTGCCGTACGTGCAGTCGAGTTTTGCCAAGAAAAATGACAATTTTCTAAATCCGCAAAGCTGCCAAAGGCACAAGGCTTCGAGGACATGTAGCTCGGAAGTTTTTAGGCTTGGACGAGCCACGAGGGAGCGAAAAGAGTCGAGAGAAAGAGAAAGAGATAAAACGACGACAAGCTTCGAGCCGTGTAGTTCGTGTGCGGTCGTGACAGGCCACTCGATAGGCGATAATACCCTTGACAAATATTGATACTGTCGGCGGCGGCTGGGCCAACTGCTCCGCGCAGCGAGAGAGACAGAGAAGGGATAATGCTTTAGATGTGTCATCGAGTACAGGTACGGAGCGCGGGTTGTATGCGCTATGCATATAGACAGTCGATGCGTTTGTCAGTCGGAGCAGCTCGTACCTACGCACGCCTGCATTGCACAACTAAATACAGAATTTGTATATGTTACACGCATACACGCACACGCGCGTGTATCGTACACGCGAAGCAAGTGAGAAAGGAACATATAACGTGCTGTCTTCTTGTATGTGTATGTGAGATGGCCGATACTCGGTATACTGTAAGTATACATGGACGCGGCGCGCTAAGCAACATAATGATCCTACATTATACCAGATTTGTGCGAGTGTGTGTGTGTTTACACAGCGATGTTTATTTTTTATGCAAAATTAGACTCTTCCTCTATAAAAGTAATAGTTGCGCGACTGTGTAGTCTAGCCTCAGCAGTCGTACAAGTACCAACTACTATACTCAGAAGCGGCTCTACATACAGGACCGATCTGCACTGGAGTCGCTCGCGCAGGTGCATACACACAGCTGCGTGGGAGTCGTTTTTTTTCTGCAAATCTGTCCTGCACAACTGGGTCTATTATATAATATATAGTGTACATATATAGTCGCCGGCTGATTAGTCGCTGCGACGTGTCACGTGCTGCCGAGGCTCGACAGTAGCTAGCTAGCTCGAAGCTCCGTGCGAACTTGACGCGCCGCGCAAGGCTGCACTTTTACGAGTCGTGTTGCCCGAAGGAAGTCGCTCTTTACTTTGGATTTGCCGGGCGTGGCTGCAGTGCACGTGTACCCGTGTATATATATCTTGGGTCGCTTTGTTCGAGGATGATGGCCGCGTCGCGCGCGCGAAAAGCGTTTCCGCGAGACCGAGTTCTTAGCTGCTATATATGAGCGAGTCCGTTTCATGTTTGCTCGGGCAATTATCGGGGCTCTGCTGCTCTTCCGAGCGAGATATATGTGTACGAGTGCGGCCTCTTCAAATTAACGAGTCGCAGTGGCAGGATTTTCGTCGCCGACGAATCGCCTCGCGAGTCCTTAAGCTGCCACGTGCGACGCGTCGAGCAAGCGTCCCTTCTATATATACGTTCGAGTATTATACGTACGCACGCTCACATGTAGCTGCCTATTCAAAGCTCGGGCCCATAATAGCCATTGTTTTGGGACGAGAGAGAGAGTAGACAGTGTAATATTTCGCAGCGGGAGGTTGAGCCTGCTGCGATCGGCGATCGCTTGTAAAGCTCTCCCCGCGAGAGCCGCGCACGAATCGACTTGCTTTTATATTATTATAGCCGCTGCGGCTCTCAGTTATCCACAGCTCGTATTATACGGTAGCAGCGCAGGTTTTATCGCCGCTCGATCTACAATTAAATTATACCTGCCTCTAATTAGCTTGGTGTGCTGCTGCTGCTTCTTCTTCTATGTAATGTATTTATATATGTATGGTGTACGTCTTATACTGGTACAGCACACACACATGGCACAAGTCACATTCACAGAGGCACGCGCGCGCATTATAACATCGGAACTGGCTATAATGGGATCCTTGAAAGTGTTGGTCATTTAGCTTTTACGCACTATAGGATGGCACTTTGCCGAGCGGCTAATAGCTCCGCGCACCTATATACTCGTATCTCGATCGACGAGCCTATTCTTCCGATTATATATAGTGGCAGCTGCAGCAGCCGCGAGTTGGCTCTATGAGCCGCGCAAAGGCTTTCTCCGACTATTCATCCTATGCGCTCGCATCTATTCGCCTCCACCTTCTTCTTTACTTTTTTTTAGGCCAGAGGTGCGAGCCTCTTCACTTCCATATATAGACGCGCTCCGAGCCTGAGTGTGTGTGTGTGTGTGTATGTACCTGCGTGGGGAGTTTTTGCAAGACTCAGTCCTATTATGTGCGTCAATAGATGCACAGGCCAATATAATGCCAACGTAATCCGAGGGCTCTTCGAGCTCTTACGCATTCGTATTGCTTGTAGGCGCGAGCGCAGTGATTGGCATTTTGTCATTAAAAGCCAAGAGGCTTCCCGCAAACACGACTCGTATTATCGTTCCTGCAGAGCCTCGGCCTTTGGTGCATATGAATATAACTTGGTACTTATAACCTTTTGCTTCATTCAAAACTGGTATTCGCTAGGTAGGTTGCTATAGCTTGAATTTTTCGTATAAGCCACGATCCAACTTGTTTATATCGAGCTCTTCATCTAACGCATGGGGCAGCTATCTCGAGTCAACAGGTGGATTTGTATCATTCGATATTCAGTAAAAAATATATTCGGTATTCGGTAAAATCTTATTTTAAAATTTAAAACTACTAATTTTTTACTATCAAGTATGATGATCGTATGCATGTCGTTTACGTTGGTTCTTGTTTCGTACATTTGAAGGTAGAGCGTCACCGCGTTACAGTTAATATACACGCAAATAATTAGATCGTGTGTGCACTCATGCAAATTGAAGGGATAATCAACGCTGAAGAGCCGATGAACGGGTAAACGGCAGGTGCCGTGGGATAATTCGTAGCTACACGATTTGTTGTTGTTACTGTAGTTTGAAGAGCTACCTATACTTATGTACCTGAAAGTCATCAAGCGAGCACTTGTAGTTATAAATCGCAGCTGCTCGCGTGCAATACATAATAAGTAATAGAGATGAGCAAGTGAGTCAAGTGCTCGGTGTAGTGCTGCTGCTGCTGCGAGCTGATAATTAAGACGCTCTCGCGCGTCGGCACCTCCTTCGTTTATTAACGCGGAGCTTTGGAGCTGTGCCGCTTTGATT